AAAGTGGTAGATCGCTAGTTGGATTATTCAGGCCAAAATCGTTTATCGGCTCACCCGGCGAAGACATGACAATACCCGAGGGTTCCCAAGCGGCCGTGTCGATGGTCACGGTTGAAGCTGAGCGCGAGCGAGTCAATGCCAAATCCGCCACTTCGCAACAGGCTCCTACTTTGCCTCCTTTGGAGACTGGCAATGCAGAAATCTCTGCAGTTGATGGCCATCCTTCCGACTATCTAGGGAACTCGAACCTGGACAACACGGCCTCGAGGAAAAGCATCATCGGCGGTGAGAGGGAGCGAGCCGAAGTCCTCGCTACTATCCGGAAGGGTATTCTGAAGAGTAGGTCCAATGCCAAATTTATTAACTGCTTTATCTAACACGGTTGTAGCTCGTAGCAATTCGCCCAGTCCTTCCGCTGGAGGCCCCGGCTTCGATCTCCCGGCAATTCCCAACGTCTCTAACTCTCCCAGCTCTACCGCTCCTAGTACTCCAAACGACGATCAAGGCCAAGCCCATAAACGAAACGAAACTCTTACCATTGGCAGCGAGGACTATTTCGTATCAGCGTTACGTCTTCGCCAAGACACAAAGAGTGCGCCCACGACGCCTCAAGGAGCATCCGGCAAACGAAATGCCACCTTCAGCCCGCGGATCGTGTTCTACGACACGTGGCCGAGCGGAGAGTACGACCGCCGTGGTGATATTGCAACCTGCAATCGTCTGACGCCCATGCTCGCTCAGCAGATCAAGGAGGAGTTGAACACTTTCAAAATGGTAAGCGAGAGCGGAAATATTTGATGACTTTGCTTTTAGGAGTTTCGCTTACATATCGCTACAGGAAATGGAGGTTCATGAGACGTCCAAGGTCTATACGCACTTTTTCTAGCTACGATAAGCGCTACACCACGAATTTTCAGCAAAAATGAGTTCCCTTCTCGATTAAAGGCCTATAGACCTGCGATCATGTATTTGTCACTCTCGAGTCTACGGCGTTTGCACATGGTCAGCATAGTAAGGTGTCGCGGCGTTTTTCGAATTTACATTACGGAGCTGTTTTCTGAGCAAAAAAAAGAACCTGTTCGTTGCTATAATATCCAAATAGTACCGGTAACGGCGGGGACCCGATGGCTCTATTGAGGACATCATTTTCGTCGGAACATATTTGCATCAGGCATTCGCCCTCCGGTCCTGATTTATTCCGGGGTAAAAGAAGCAACGGCTTGGATTTGAGTTGGTAGGAGCGTATTCGGTGTGGCAGGCGTATCACAGGAGGCGGTCAGACATCTGGAGGGTGACATTCCCAATAGGTAGAGATATGCTGACCCGAAAACACCCCGTGTCCTTCGGAGCGGAGGAGGAATACTGCACCACTGGGGGGGCTAGTACGTGAAGACAGGGCAGATCCCTTTAGTGGATCATGGAAAACGATGGCAAACCTATCTATCATATCCCCTGCGTATCTGAACTGAAGCTATAATATCCCCGACGACACAGCTAAGCAAGGTCGAATTTTTGGAACCAATCATAGATTTATGTATCTATGTTGTATTCTGCCATCCTAATTTTTTAGCCGGGAGACATGAGGGAGTCATCATTTGAAGTTTGAACGAGAGAATAACAGTCTATTTTGTCTTATCGTTCACGACTCTAAGGTGTTATGATGATGATGTTTGCTCCAGTGGACGGAAGTAATGTACTATTAAGGAAAGATTTGACGGCTACGTATTTGAACCGGGACAAGAGTGAATATCAGTATCCAGCATTTTCCAAGTTCTTTCCGGTGCTATGCATACATATGCCTTGGCTTCTTCCCCCTCGACCAAGATTCTCGCATGTAAACTGGCACGAATACGATGCGTACATACTATGTAGATGCTTGCTTTCCAGGGTCTTCCTCTCTTAGCAACGGTCTGGCCTAACCGGAAGTCGTTAGGAGAGGTGCCAAGAGGTTGCAGCGGCCAAGCGGGATCTCTCCAAGAGTAGAGGTACTCGGTCGATTAATACGAGATGTAGAGGGTACAAGTGAGGCGCAGCGCTTTGGTTCCATTCTCCTGTGCCGAGATTATTTCCCTTACATATGCGAACATCTTAGCCTCGGGGTTTCTTGGGAGTCTTATGCAAGGCTGAAATGTTATCTGAGATCTGGTGCTTGTGGGAGGCAGTTGAGGTTTGTTTCTTTATTTTATTATTTTATATTAGGTTATATGAGTATAAGCCTTTATTGTTAGTTACTCCTGTTAAAGGCTATAGTATCCTTATAGATGCATGTGTATTCCTATAGCATGATACTCGGCATTGGTGAGTTGTACCTAGGTACCTAGGGAAAGCGCAATCTGGGCATTACCTAATATGCATAGTATTTCGGAGCTAGATAAGCCCCGCCATAATTACTTCGTATCATAGATTTTCTTAGCTAAACCAATCATTTTCTATGCGAATCTCGTCTTGCGATACTCTTTACTCTTTCAACCGCAAGTTAGCAACGCTCGCAGTCGTCATCCTGGACCTTGTCACAAAATTGCGTACGCGCTGGAATATTCCCAGCCTTGGCTGGAAAGTAATAGCCACAAAGCACGTCGCAATGGCTTCAACCACGGCCAATGGAGCAACGACCGCGGCCAAGGCCAAGTTACATGGGCGGATGTTCTATGAAAGCATAGGCAGTCCTAAGTTTGTGCTTGCACCTATGGTCGACCAGTCCGAGTTCGTATGTCTCCTATACCTATACCGTCATCCTATAGTCATCCTATAGTGAGAATGTCAAATACTGACAGCCGTTAATCTTAGGCCTGGCGCATGCTCACTCGGTCGTTTCTCACCCCGGACGAGAACTCCAAACTCCTAGCTTATACGCCTATGTTCCATGCTCGATTATTTAAAGAAACGGCAAAGTATAGAGAATCGCACTTCGAAGCGACCCGGCCCTCTCCGTCTACCCCTGCTTCGACAACGCCGAATTCTACGGCTGCATCTACGAACACCGAACAACTACCCCCATTCCTGGATGGTAACCCGGCATTCGATCGTCCTCTATTCGTACAGTTCTGTGCCAATGATCCCGAGCACCTACTAGGCGCTGCGACCCTTGCCGCGCCTTATTGCGACGCCGTCGACTTGAACCTTGGCTGTCCTCAAGGTATCGCGCGCAAAGGCCACTATGGCGCATTCTTGCAGGAGGATCAGGAACTTATCTATAAGTTGATCAATACGCTCCATGAGAACCTTCCCGTACCCGTTACAGCAAAGATCCGTATATTGGAAACCAAGGAGGACACTCTAGCCTATGCTAAGAACGTGTTGGCTGCGGGCGCAAGTATCATTACTGTCCACGGACGAAGACGAGAGCAGAAGGGACATATAACTGGTGTCGCAGACTGGGAATATTTACGCTATTTAAGAGAGAACCTACCTAAGGAAACGGTAATTTTCGCTAATGGCAATATACTCCAGCACGGGGATTTGGAAAGATGTCTCGAGGCAACGGGTGCAGACGCCGTCATGAGCGCGGAGGGAAATCTAAGCGATCCGGCCATCTTTGCGCAACCGCCACCTCCTGGACAAGAGGGACGAGAGTATTGGCGAGGCTTAGACGGAAAGGGTGGCTATCGAATAGATGCCGTGTTTAGACGTTATATGGATATCATACACAAATATGTCCTACAACGGGATCCGCCAGCGCGAAGGCCCTTGTTCGTTATTGGGGATGACGAGAGTTGGCTTGCCGAAGGGAAAGACAAAGACGCAGAGCAAGAGGAGGGCCCGGCGCGTAAGAAGCGGAAGAAGGATGGTGGCGGTAGAAACGAGAAATGCACCTCGCCGAATCTCCTTGCGGTCCGACCTCATTTATTCCATCTCCTGAGACATTTTATATCGAAACACATAGATATCCGTGATGCTCTAGCAAAGTGTCACGCCGGCGACGTTCCGGCTATCGAGAATATCCTCGACATGGTAGAGCGGCGTGTAGCGGAAGGCCTTATCGAATACGAGAGGACCGGAGGCAAAAGTATAGAAGAACCAGAAACACAACCCAAAGCGATAGAAAATAAGGCGTCGGGAGAATCATCAAAGATAGAAGATGCCGAGGATACGGACTTCGATCCGGAAAGCTCGGTAGCAACCGTCAAGAAATGCAAGCGGCCGTGGTGGATCGCACAACCTATAGTGCGACCGCTTCCGAAGGAGGCCCTGGCAAACGGGAGCATAAGTCTCAGTAAGAAGGAGAAGAAAAAACAGGAGCTAGAGGCCCAAGCTGGGGCGGAAAGGGGTATAAACACGACCGGAAAAGGGGCAGATGCAGAATTACCGAAGCCGGACGGCGTAGCGGGAATTAAAGAGCCCCCTATGGATGCGAAGAAGCCGGCTCTTACGGCTGATGAGTTGGTATGTGGGTAGAGGGTAGAGGGTAGATATTGGGAATATATAAAAGGTTACTATAGATCATGGCATAGCACAGAGCGTGTGTTGGATATGGCTATATCCAAGGTTAAATGCAAGGGACAGGTATGTAGCACCGCCACAAGCCAAAGCTACCATATACCTTCAGTAGCGGTGAGCGAATATGTATGTATTATCTACTTTAAGATTCGTGAGTTATTATACTGGCTAGGTACCTATATATAGATTTTGTAGATATCTGCCTTAATAGCCCCTATGAGTTTTGACAAGCAACTCGCTAGGTTTAGGTAGGTAACCGGGTATGTCTACCGCCGACCTAGAATCCTCAGCAGCAGACGCCGAAATCGCCAACTTCTTCACCAAGACCTCCGCTACCCGGGCCCAATGCGACGCCCGAGCGGCGGAACTCGCCGGCCCCGTCGTTCCGGTCAAAGTCCAGGGCGTCTGTAGTTACTCGGTGTATGCCGGGCGGGGCCAGGAGTGCGTCGTACAGTTCCGGCTACGGTCTCTGGAGCTTAAGATGGAGACTGCGGCGTTGGCGCGGGAGGTTTATGGAGGGTTGGCGCCGGTAGTGTCGTTTGAAGGGTGGATGGGGGCAGATGGGGATGGGAAGGAAGGGCTTTGTGTGTACTTGATGAGTCGGATCCGGGGGGTTACGCATTTGGATTTTACCCTGGCGTATGATGGACCTGATAATTCGCAGGAGTGGTTTGGTTGGCGGAGGAATTTGATGGCGGGTGTTGCGCGGTAGGTTGGTTGGTTTTATTTCTGCTTGCGTTGGCTTCGGCTCGTCTGTTATGAATAAACGTCTCTAACCTAGGCACCTAGGTTCTTCGCCCGCTCGTGGAACGCCCCTCGGCAGGTCAGTCCAGAGTATCGTGAGAAGCTCCGCAGGACATACGTTAGGGAGTTGCGGCTACTATACTCTGCACTTCCGGATCGCTTCCGCCCTATCATCCAGAACTGCGTCGATTCGATAGATGCCGTTCTATCCCTACCTATGGTGCTCCTGCACCGCGACTTGGGCACGTGCAACATTATAGTCGACGAGACGTCGTGCCATCTCGTCGGCGTTGTCGATTGGGCTGAAGCTGAGATATGTCCCTTCGGGCTAAATCTTCATTCTCTCGAAGCCCTGACGGGGAAACTTCATCTTCGAGACGGTTGGAGACAGTACGAAGATTATGCCACTTTATAGAATGTGTTCTGGAGCACATTTACGCAACAAGTTGGAGGACTGGATGAGGGAACTGTCCAAACCGTAAAACTTGCACGGATCGTGGGCTTACTGCTTTCTGCCGGCTTCACTAGCCGTCTTGCGAATGAGCCTACTCCGGTGCCTATTTGTGATGATGAAATTGGACGGTATAAGATGTTATCCCTAGATGGGTTTCTTATTAATACAGAGACGAGATTTCACGACCTTGCGGCATGAGCTGAGGATTGATGTTATAAATCGAGGCATCACTCCAAGATCGATCTATTGTAACCCTAATCTATATAATAATAGGTTATATTTATGCGACTCAGGGACTAGGGATTAGAGGGTTTATCCTTCCGGCTTCTTCCCTGGCGGTTGTATATTTCCATCATTGCGACGATAGGCCTGATAACACGTCGTCTAGTTGGTCTTTTATCTTCTAATGGAGATTTTACAATAGTTAACGGCGTCAGGCCGTCGCCGGCTTTTGGGTTGACGTCCACCTCCCTTGCCTCAAACAGATTTGAAATATAGCATAATCCATAACCAGATCTACAACTCTGCTCTGCGTATTGTAATGGGGTCAGTCCCCTGTTGGCTTTCGCGTCTCTGTCAATTTCTGGCCAGGTAAGTAGCTTTCTAACTATACTTGACTCGCGGGACCCAGCCGCGTAAGATAAGGGCGTATTGAGCAACCCATTAGCAACCAACGATCAAATCAGGACCGCAAAAGAAAGATGCGCTTATTCGAATCCTCGAACTTCTCGAGGAATCGAATAAGCTCTCTCAAAAGTTCCGACCGTCATGCGACCAGACCGGAGATCGCTCGGGACGAGACGAAGGAAAAGAGAAGAATGAACATTCTTTAAGCAGAAGAATCCGGGAGGTGGTTGTGCGGCGTAGACGAAATGGAGCTAGCCCGATGAAGACCACGCGCTGGGTGCTGTACAGCAGAGAACATGCGATGCAACTTATTAGCGATATCACATCTTTGATCGATTTGCCGCAGCACATCTATCCAATGCCTGATAAGGAGCAAGAACTGGCTAGAGAAGAAGTAAGACAGCTTACTTTAGCCGTTACCGATCAAGAGTCTACGATACGACACTTGCAACAACTTGTGCAAGGCATCGACAATGACATGAAGAAGGCTATTGAGTCTGTCAAAACGCAGGGCCACCAGTACGAAAACGTATCCGTGGAAGAGAATGCGCGCGTTCAGAATGGACACACCTTTACTCGGGCTTGGGAGGGGACATCTTCTCTACCGGTAGGACCGAGCATGACTTTTACTCATATGAGAGCATCGGGATTCTCAAGGGTTCGTAACGGAGATGTATATCTAGAGAAGGACGACTTCTGGTCGTAGGTATGAACGATACGGCGATAAATGACTTGCTCTATCGATGTGGAAGAGTAAGGAGGGGAGTGAAAGTCCGACGAATAGGATGATGATGTATTTTGAAAGAATGCAAACGTCTTGTTCAATCGCCGATCTTAAATACCTATACATAGGTAGGTACCTAGGTACCCGACAGTAGGACTCGGACCTTCTTCGTATGAATTGCAAGTGCCTTCTTATGTATAGCACCTCGGAAGCTGCTGTGTCACGCCGACTTACTGAAGAAGTTGCTCATTCAACTGAATGCCAGGTGTAGATGTGCTGATGTGATAAGGTTGCAGGAAGAAAGGCAGATCTAGAAGGAACCCCAACCCCACCTATAAACTCCCCTCCGTTGGCCCTAACCCCGCAATCCTGCGGCGTAGTGGCACCCCACCGTACCCACCACTTCTACGGCCGAAATCCGTCGATCGGGCGGCTGCATATTGACTTTTGACTTAAAAGAGTTCCTGGTGGCTAGCGAGAAATACTCGAATCGAAAGATACGGGCGTCCGATGCACGGAGTTAGTCATACATCCCCAGGTATATTTGGTAATCTGTCTTTGCATTTGGAAAAATATGTGCATAGCATATGTAGTTCTCTACCTATTTCGGTAGGGCAAGATACTTGAATAAGCGGGATTTATCGAACCGGGGCGGGCCCGTCTACCCGTCTTCCCGTCTTACACCCCCGAAGGAACGCACTTCTCTACCTTTAGGGGAAAGCTCTCTGCCCCCTTAGGGGAAAGCACCTGAGGAGCGGCATTAAACGGACCGGAGCGGCCCCGTCTTCCCGTTCTTACACCCCCGTGGACGGATCTTATTTATAAGAGCTTACATGTACATATATTAATTATTCGGTCGCAATGTCTGTGGTTTTTGGAGAAAGAACATTCTCAAATCTTGACAACTTGACGAGAATCTAAGGTGTTCTTCCCATTCTTAGGCTTGTAGTTCGAGAGTTTGTAGTTGTGTGAATACAGCCTAACTACGTAATCCCTCCCTCATGGTAAGATTTCCCGCCCAGGTTTTTATATAACTACCTGTACATTCGTAACTGGGCTAACTCGTTGATAAATAAAGGCGTCCCAAGGGAGGCTTGCGCTTTCCGCGCTTTTCTTGGGCATGGGACTCTTCGGGGTCATGGCTACCGACGGACAGCTTTTCGCAGGTCCGTTAGGGAAGCTGCTAAGAGCCATCGCCGGCGGGAGCGAAGAAGCCGTGGTCTTGATAGGTGGCCCGGTGCCGTTCAAGTATACGTACACCGGCATCGGGCCCGTGGACGCTATAATCTCGCATTGGACGGCCTTCGTGGCCGCGCTGATCGACGACCCTGAGCTCCGCTGGAACACCTGGGCGCTCTACATCGAGTCCATGGGCCAGTTCTGCGTCGGATGGGGTCTGCTCTTGCTCGAGTGTAGGCGAGCGGGAAACCGCGGTCTCTTCGTTAGTTGGGCTGGAACCCTCGGCGTGGTTTTCCAGGCGATCTCGTGGGCGTTTTCTTTACCGCTATACTTCGGATTACATCTTCTCACGTCGCCTATCTCGAAGTTGGAAAGCAAGGGCGGCAGAATTACGGGCGAATCTGCGAAGCTCCTATTCGTGGACCTCTGGGACCTAGCACTTATGCCCATCTCCCTGACCTTGGGAACTCTTATTCCTACTCTCTTCATGAGCTTGCCCTCGCTCTTCTCTTCTATCGGCCACTATAGCTGGATTGCGTTCTGGATTCCGTTTGGACCGGTGAGTGGATAGAGATTGTCCTGCACTTTTCTGTATGCTAATCAAATTTACTTTAGTGGACGGTGATTGCTATGGACCTATTCAAGAGCGTGGGTAACTCCACAGTTGGCGCTCTTAGCCCGAAGGACACCAACGGCAAGCCTACTACACCCGGCAAGGGCTTTTACGTAGCTGTGTCGACAGTATACCAATTCAACATGGCAGTTTCCGTGCTAACACACTTGCCATTCATGGTCACATCCGTGCTACCCGGCCCCTTACGTTCCGCTCTCATTTACGCATTCCCCGGCTTTGCTTCCTTTTTCTCGGACATCACTTTCACGAAGACGTGGCTGCCCCACCCCTTCCTCGGACAGCCGGCAATAGACCCGCTCGCCAACGGACCCGGTAGGTTCGGTCCCTTGGTTGCCGATTTCTACCTGTTCGATCTGTACCTAGGAAACGGAGCGATGCTTCTATGGGCCTTGTACTTGTATCTTCAACAAACCGGATCCTCTCCGGCGAAGGCCATACAAACGGCCGCAAAGTGGTCTTTCCTTGGAGGCTTCGTAGCTGGTGCGTTTGCACTGCTCTGGGAGCGTGACGAGCTTGTCCAGGAGAGCGAGAGCGACGCGAAGAGGAAATGAAGAGTTAGGATGGAGAATCTCGATGGGAATTAAAGAGAGGTAGGGATTTCCATCTCAATGTTGGTTGATTTCTACTCAACCTGATCCCTGGAGGCGCGCTTTCTTAAATAGCTATAAAAGGAGAGTTGGTCATGTGGACTGCTTGTTGGACCGAATAGCGAGATGGCATTCGTCAAGAAAGTTTGGGCTGGGTTGGGGCTATGTCCTTATGAAGGTTATGGACATGAAGCCGTTATCCAAAATCGTCTGTATAAAGGACGAGCGGTATTCGGAAATTCTACACGGCGGCAATTGGCATGCCAGTTATTGAGAATTCACTAAGCGAGCGATAGAAGCACTTAGAGAATAGATAGTGTAAATGACAACTGGCATGACACATTGAACACTATCTCTTCACTCTCAGGGCCCCTTGAGGGTACTAGATATATCAGTGTAACTTCTTGGAACAGCATGGGCATATCTCGCACCCACCGTAAACAAGTGGGTTACTTCATTCGCTTCTTAACTCCTTTAGACGACCCTTACTCGCAAGATACGCAGCGCCAGAGTCGGCCCAGACCTCATAGCTAACAACCTTATGCTGATCATCGAATTTAAGCGCATACGCAAAGACTTCATCCCAGCTCTCGCCCGTAGCCGTCCACGTGAACTTGGCGGTGCCACGGACCGCGACGCGATTCTCGACAGCATCAACGATGTAGTCCGCGAAGCTCATATCCTCGTAGCTCAGACATGAGGAGATGGTGCTGAAGTATTCCTGCACGCCATCGCGTCCCCGGAATTCTCGGCCGAGGAAAGGGGCGAGTTTTTTGAGTCCATGCTCGTATGCTAATATGTCGTCGGAGGACGAGAAATGGCTTAAGATCTCGTCGAGTGATCTTTTCTGCGCAAAGCTCTCGCAGAAAGCTGTGGCGGCGTTAAGGAGATCAGCTCGTTTGCGGTGAGGCATGTCTGTACAAGCTTATAGAATCACACTCAGGATATAGGTGGCGTAAACCTGTATAGCTCTGGTAGCCCTTTTTGACTGAAGTCTTTGGGATCAGTCCAAGAATGGTCGAGGTAGCCAGGGACCTAGAACTATGGAATACGTCATTGTTTATTAGCTTCTGCCAGTCCGTCAACAGCTGATCCAGATTTTCGGCTGGATGCTGCCAGTTCGAGCTTCGCGACGTAAGTACGCATCGCGGGCAATCCCTGGCGCATTAGAAGGGATCTGATATAGAGCCACTTGATAGGATGCTTTAACCTATAGCACCAGCATAGTACCTCTACCATTTCTTGAGAAGAAATTCAACAACCGCTAAACGTCTTGCTGTAAGGTGTGATGGCGAGTTATCACCAGAGCAAGCCCATTGTGTAACAGAGTATTTATACAAATAGAGGAGAATCAGCCTTACGTACCACAAGCTATTCTATTTACGATATATTATAGTGATATGTCCTTTACGAAATTGCCTTTTGGTGTAGTGGTGTGTTGGACAATAGGTATGTTATTATCGCCCCTCTCCACTTACACTAGGTACTCTACCCCCTGATTAAGGGGTTAGATCAGGGGTATAGCTTGCTTTGATTTTTACAAGACTGAACAAGGTCATCCATCATTCCTTTTTATCCTCCACCTGCCCAGTGCGACATAACCTCCCATTCTGCGACCCAGGATACCCCACGGACTGGACCGCCCAACCCTCGCTCCCAACCGTCGTCGGCGCCCAGAACAAACCCCACGGGTCGCGCTGCTGCTTGATCTGTAACAGGCGCTCGTAATGGCGTCCGTAGAACGCCTGCTGCCAGTTCGGCTCGCCCGGGTCTCCCTCGTTCATGTACGACCCGGCATCCGGGGACACCGAGCGTAGCAGGTCCATGTACCCCCGCATCACCGCGTCGCGCTCCGTCGACTGGTCCGGCGTCTGGTCCATCAGCATCGCGTGCATGCGGTTGTTGCGCCACGCCGGGTTGACCGAGTTTTCTGCGCCGGGCCACCCTGCAACTTCTTCCGTCGGCGAGGCCATCGTCCCGTGGAAGTAGTAATCCCGCTCGTAGCCTCCTTCCGTGGCCGTACGTATCGCCTGCATCGTCTTGTTCCATAGCTCGTCGTCCTCCCAGTTTTCGCGCGGGAGTAGTCGGGACCTGTATCTGGTGTTGCCTGGCGGGGACCCGATTCCTGAGCTGGGTAGTCCGTAGAGGTTGGTGAAGAGAAGCGCTGGGTTAGTGACGTTGATGCCGATACCGTGCAGGTCGTCGTATAGTGGCTGCATGAACTTGTAGACTGCTGCTCCCGTGGAGTCGGTGAACTCCGAGCTTGTTACGAAACTGTAACTGTTATTCGGAAGGGGATAGATGTAGCTGAAACAGTAACCGCCAGCATCCAATATCTTGGCGCCGAATCTATAGTACGCGCTAACGCCTTGCCAGAACTTCTCGGCGTCGGTGAGTACACCGGGAATAGGGGATGTCGTATTCCTTGGCTCTAAAAGAGTGAGACTTAACGACGTTGACGTTAAGTTAATTGGCGGATGCGCTTTTAAGATAGCCGAAGTCACCACTCCATAGGTTCCTATCGCACCCGTTAATAATGCATGAAAGGCTTATCATAATAAACAAACTATGGAGTTTAGATTCATACATACCTCCACCGCCGCCGCGTAATGCGAAGAAAAGATCGGAGTTAGTATACGGATCAGCTGTTACGAACTGGCCGGCAGCAGTCACAACACCAAGAGAAAGTACTTGGTCGGCTCCGAGACCAAGTTTAGAGGTGATCATCGTGTGCCCCCCCGAGCTCATCCAGCCGCCGATTCCTCCCACCGTAGCCCAACCGGGTGCGACGACGGTTACGTTGTGGGCCGCCATGAAGTTACGCTCCTCCCACGACTCAACGCCGGCTCCGAATTGAACAGCCTTTCCCCGATAAGGCCCAAGCTCATACGAAGGGATGAATTCCATGGCCTTGAGATGATGTGTCCAGATACTGAGGGATCCTGCTCCCACCGACCTGCCACCAAAATCATGTCCCGTATTTCTGTTTTTATGCTGTTAGAAGTCCTCATCCTTTGAAAAATTTAAAGGTCTATAGACGAGTGGACTTATCTTACTTAATTACTAGCCGGATGCCCTTGTTCCTGGCAAAGTTGACCGCCGCTTGGATATGCTTCACGCTCGTGGCGTTAACAACGTATTCGGGGAATCCACCACGCGTACAGTTCCCCTGAGGGTCCAAGGCGAGCACACAAGTCCCACCTTGCGACCATTCTGTCAACGAAACAAGTGGCTCGTCAATCCAGAAGTGCGAAAGGGATGTGTTCGTATATAAGTACGTGCATCTTTCCAAGTCATAATCGGGTCCTTTGTAGCAAGCGGCAGCTGCGGGTGTTGGTCTCAGCAGAGCACCCTCGAGAGTTGTATTCAACCGAGCCCACTCTGCGACGGATGGCCAGTCGCTATCGCCCGGGAAGACTTTACAGTCATCAACGCTGCTATCACCTAATGAAGCTTTAGCCTCATCGCCAAACTCTATGGCAGAAAAGTCTCCAATATCTTCTTGCGTGAGTTGAATGGAGTCAGAAAGAAGAGCCCTTGGCTTAAGCGCGATAGCCCCGGAAATAAATACGCCCGCAAAGATGGAAGAAAGACTCGGCTTCATGATGCCGAATATCTGTCAGTATGCAATATACCGCACACCTCACAAAATATCTCAACAAACCTCGTATTAGCGTTACGGCATAGCGACCTATGTATATTACTCGGTTAGGCATGACTATCTAGAGGAGATGCTTTCTACCTATCGAAAATAGGGGCTAGAACTCTTCTGCAGGCAGCTTCAGGAATTACCGAGCCATTAGCAAAAAATGATATCGTTCAAAGTCATCGTGAAATGGGCCGATGACCCTCATTATTCATCATATAAGCTCCGTCTATAGTCTCATTTGGGGGTTACCTTGGAGACATAATATCGATCAATATTTTATCGCGGTGTAGGCTGTAATACCGATGACACCGGCGGCTCTGGTCTTGGCATATACCCGGCATTAGGTAGCGCTGGAGGACTAACCGGGTGTATGTATACAGTTTTGTACCCGGATCTGAGTATCGTGTGAGACGGTAACCTCGGGAATATGGACCTACGAGAAGCGGCGCGAGGTTCAGGCTAAATAGAGATGTGCCTGATACCTCGTGTCTTTGGTAGGATTTAAAACCACATGATGAGGCTAGATGCCGCTTGCCTGGTACCAAAGCTTAGCCTGGCGCATCTTCTTGGCATGCTGCTATTCCAATTCACTCTATACCTTTTCGTTATACACTTCGCAGGTGGCTTATACATACTTAGGCGACGGCTGTTGAACCTTACTATGCGATCGGTGCCATCCCAATCGTAACCTCAAATACAAGATTTGTCTGCTATAACTACTGTCTTTATAAGCGAAGCAGACGACATCGAACGCGTGGCTATCATACGATAACGCGGCAACCCCCAACGTGGCGCATAGTCTCGAACCATGTCGATGGCGGCAGAGGAACGATTGTTAATCAAAATTGGAGGAATTTATTCGGCATTCAATTTACCGCGGCTAGAATAGCTCGAAAAGGGCAATACCACCTAGGGATTCTGGTATAACTCATATACTATTAGCGCTTGTTACTGATAAACGACGTGCCTTACAATACGCGGAAAACGCATGGCGGCAATATTGGACCTTACATATGGAGCTGCCAGTAATCTAAGTCATATATACAAGCGCGACGTTAATCTAGAGGCTACTACCTCGATTAGAAGTAAGCTGCTGCTCGCCTTTATTTGCCCGTCTAATGGAGTTTTCTATGGAGGACACCCCAAATGCCGGTGACTTTAAGCCCAGCGCAGACAGACCCTCGTTAGCCGAGGCACATGGGTTTGGAGAACCCCGTACAGACGGCATGGACAAGTATTCCGGGGGTAAAAGTATATCATAGGGCTGAGTGTTTAGTGTTTGTAATCCAGCTAACCTCTTGACAAGTCATGGGATCCAGTATGTCGTATTATTGGCAATTTCTCATCCTATTGGGGTCTGCACGATCCCGTCTCTAGGTGCATTCTCGCCAACCCGACTACGACACATCGTAAGCCTTACACTCCATCCGATGCTTCTTCCAATCCTTGCGCTGGCATTCTGACGAGCAGTACATGACCTCCTTGCATCTCGAGCATTTCAAGAGATTCCCTCCATTCTTACCCTCCGTCGCGTTGCAGTTGCGACACTTGTCCATGTGCAAACGCTCAAGGCTTCCTTGGGCACTAAGCAAATCTAGGTCCACAATATCCTCAACGAAAGGTACTGAGAAGGTTGGGCTGATTGCTACGCGGGTTGCGTACTTGGATGCTGCGCTATCCCAGTCCGGCAGGCTTATAAATCCCTCGGGCAGCTTGCCGTTGCCGCAGCTGCACATGAATTGCTTTCCCATCTCCGTGCTAAGCGGGATCGTGGCACGGGACTTTTTGTATTCGCATTTAGGACCGTGGCTCCACGTGCGACACCGCTCGGCGAATGCGGGGAGGACCTCTTTCCAGAGCACGAGCTCTTCGTCATTAACGTTGATGGCGCATATCTCTAGTTCGCGAAGGATATAAAGGAACGTCTCAATTTCTCCGGAGTCAATTAGCTGCCTGGTGAAAGGGATTACTGCTGCATCTGCCACCACGGACCCCTCTGCGCCGTTGATACGTATGGCGCGAACGAAGATGAGGACTTGGTTTCCATCTACAGGGTGCTGAAGTGCGAAGAGCCCAGTATTTCCACCTTGAAGCCCCGAAGCTAGCATAAAAATGGAAAAGAGCGACTCTTTGAAGTTCATACGCAGCGAAGCTGACTCTGTCGAGTCTCGCAATCTTCGCTCACGGACGGAGAATTGGTGAGACGTAAGTGTGTTTAGCCATCGATTTTCTTTTTTGTGAACTTGATCCACATCGAGGATTGGCAAAGAGTCTAGGTTAACCTGTTGACTGTTGAGTGGTATGGGCACGGAATTTTCCCCGAGCGTGATGGGATAGATGAAAGACGATAACGCCCCCGAAGTCAAGGGATCTGCTAGGGGTGCAATGACTTCAATGTAACCCGACGTGCGCGCGATACGTGTCTTGGCGGTTTCCTTGAGAACCGGAGCTGGGAATGACGCGACATGGACTAGGAGTTTCTCACCGAATACGATATCTATCGAGAATGGTGACGATTGTTGCAATTCCACGGGGACGCGTTCAGCTAGAAGTTTTCGAGCCCTTTGCGAAGAAAAATCGACATGGTTACATAGGGACTTAATCCTATCGCTTTCAAAGTTCGCGGTAATTCGGGTAGGTGGAAGTGCACCCGTCTGGACGGCGCTCTTAACTATAGGATTCTCGTAGCTACCCGCTAAGGGATAACCAGTCATTCCCGGTTCGTATTTCGTGACAAAGACGTTAGAAGTATCGGTGATTGTCGTCGCGTGTACGACCATGGTGGGTAAGAGGTGTTTGAAGGTGTGAATGCTCATGGGTGTGTTCTGAACGCGGAGACCAACTCGAGTATCTCTTGGTTCAACCTGAAGACCGGTAGATGGCACGTAAAAGGAAGCTACTAGAGGTGACTTTCCCTGCCAGCCCAGAGGGTCCTGATGGATGGTTATCGAGAAGTTCTCATTCTCGCGGCGTCCTGATGTTTCAACTTGTCCAAATACAGCGTGTACACCAGCAAAGAAATTCTCCCAGCCTACTGGATTACTCGACTTGAGCATGCCCTCGAGCGTTGGCGCGTTAAACTTGCTCTGTTCGGTGTTGTATAATCTGTCAATATGTTTTCTCGGCACCACTACTGTAACGCAGACCACTTCTGGTATATTGTCCCATGCGTGGAAGCCACCCGCGCTTGGTATCGATCTTATTTCTCTTCTCATCCATTCTTCGGTATACAGGCCTTGTATATGCAGTTGAGCGCTCAATTCCTGACGATAAAGGCTTCGCATAGTTCTCTCGTCTAGGCTATCTTGGCCTATCATTTCCAACAAGCGCTCCCAGAAGGACGACCAAGTGGTAGAAGTATTTGCCCGGATAAATTTCATGAACAGCACAAAGCTGCCTCGATGGAATAGTGGATATCCAGGGCGTAGAAGCTTCCTTGCCAACTCTTCGCGATTTGCTGTTAGAAGTGGCGTAGGGTCCTCACTCTCGAACATTTGTATGTAAACTTGAAAAACCGCACTGGCGAGCGCATGTGGCTCAACATATAAAGCCTCAAGATCACTGGGTGATTGCGAGAAAGATGTGCTCAATTTCCAAGCCAATCTCGAATGCGCCTGCTGGGCTTGAGTTGACGTGCCTAGAGTGTTCAACAAGATTTCATCTACGCACGATACGGATGTAGCATTAGTCCAAAAGTCGACTGGGACTAGACCAAGAAGTATGGATATCGTCGGGGCATGACCAGGCATTAGAGCGTCAAATTGCTGCCTCCGCGTCTTTTCTGTCTTGACCAACTTCTCTGTCCATAGGGTGGAGCTCGCTGATTTCTTCAATAGAGGTGCGGTTGCTACTAATAGATTTAGTGCACCGAGATGGTCGGCAAGATTCGATGTATCGATGACGTCGAATTTGGTTGGTGCCGAGCCGGGCGTAGCGTAAGCTTTAGGGTCGAATTCGATAGGAATTATATCGAGTTGTCGGCGAAAAATACATGTTGGTTTGCCTCTCGAAGTTGGAATGGTCTGTAGGGCGTGGCTAAAGGATAAGGCATCCGATACGATGAATCTAAGAGTTATGCCCCCTTCCGGTACCTCTCGGAATGCCGCCACCCACTCGCGAAACTGAGTCTTCGCTGCAGCGATAACGTTGAGGATCTCGCCGTCATCAGGCTCGGGACGAAGCGGGGACCCCGGTGCTAGGTTCGCTTTAGCGGTTGCGAGATGAAATCCAAGAATGGGGTCTGTGCCATAGTGAAGGTACGTATTTGGGGACACAGACTCAGAGAATAGCGGATTGGGAAGTGTTCCTGGGTGTTCAGAAAGACTGCCATGCTTCCAAAAGCGTTCTCTGGCCTCTAAAATCCCATCCTTCGACGCGATCGATAACGGCGCCGCGGATCTGAGTCCAGTTAGAATGAGCTCGGGCTGTCCCTCAGGCTGGCCGCTCATAAGCCTAAATAGCTTTCGAGTGTTTTCAAGGTCTTTCTCGAAGCTAGCCTTAGTTTTAGACTGGGCTGACGCGTACTTCATCCAGACCTGCCTGACTTCTTGTAGCGAGCTTGCGTCGCAGAATTTCAACATCGAGCCATAGGGCCCTTCGCTCCACTGATGTATACTGCTTGACAACGACACTATCTTCTGTGCCTGATCCTGGATGAGCTTTTTGGAGTTTTCATCGATGTGAAAATGGAAATAAATATCCCATGCGATCTTGGCACTAGTACCGTCGACGAGAAGGGTAAAGAGAAGTACATTCCTTGCTATAATAATTTAGCATAAGGATGTCTAGCCGGGATATGCTCTGCTTACCTATTATGGCGGTTTCAACATCGCAGCACGTAATGTCAAGCCTTCTTGCTGCTACTCAAATGTTAGTAACATCGATGGCAGATGATGACCAGATGAGGGTAATAGGGGCACTCACGGAATCCTCGTTCGGAGTACGTTGTGAACAGAATATTACGGATGTCGCCACATCCAAGAAGAAGAATATCAGCATCTATCCCCTGGGGTAAGCCTCTCGTCAGGCTGACCGCGGGAGTATTGCCAATGGGGTAGAACTGGGTAAAGTATGGAATAGTAGTCGGGGTGAACATGGTGATAAGTAATCCTGGAAGATGGGAAGGATAAAACTTCTGTAGGACTTCCTACGTGAGTGATCTGTATCCTTGACCTAGGAGACTAAATACCACTTCTTGCTGTTGGGTATAAACATCAACCTTGGGTAGATGAAAACGGGTTCAACCAAGATGCTCAGTATCGTCGTCACCTAATTGCATTTCCTATATGCTCGATTATTCCTTGTTAGCTGGTAAAATATAGTCAGGTAAACCTATGCCTTTCATCCTATTTTATAAGAAGTTAGGTATCATTCACGTTGCCTCTGTTTGCCGTAGAGACGGTTGGAGACATGCAAAAGTGGAGTTGGTACTAGCGGATGCTGCCGACTGGCCACAGCTTTAGACCAATCTTTGGTACTATCAAAGGTAAGCTATGGGGCTAGGATATACCTAGCATACAGCACCTTTGGTATTGTACCTACACCTAGGCAGGTAAGGTACGCAACATCATGGGCATCACATCACATACATAGGACATACATATATAGGAGGTACTTCGCGCCAGAACAAGACCTCATCTCATTATCATCCAGTGACCTAAATATCCGAAACGCGATCGACTACACCCCATCGACTACACCCAAACTAATATTTTTCATCCTATAGAAGCTCTCAAGTACCTAACCGCCCCCGCCAAATTAAACAGACCAGGGAAAAAAAAAGAAGACGGCCACCCGCGTCGGCGCTAAAACGCCCCCAGAAAAAACATCCATCCATCATCCAATCCGCCCATAGGGGAAGGTCCCTTTCACCGCGATCCCGTCTCTCGTAATTCCACATTATCGTACATGACTTCTTGGCCGAATTTCAGAGGGAAAAGGGGGGACAGAAAATAATAGAGAGCTCGCAATTACGCCCCGAGGTCAAGTATAAACCCCCCAAAATGCATTTTTCATTAATGTGCCGTTCTAGTATGTCTCGCTTCGCTCTTCGCTTCGAGTTAAATATGAAAGACGAAATATATTGCTTCATCCAAATCAGGGCAGATGACGGGGTAAACAGCCCATCGCCGGTGTAAGTTCTTCGAAAGCTGCTTTTAGCTACTACCGAAGAATAAATCGTCATTATTGGTAAACATGTCGACAGTGTCGAACGCCTCGTCGAACTTGCTGTCGGAGCTGAGCATCAGCATGCCCGTGTCGTTGTTGGTGAATTGAAGCAGTATGTCGTCGTCGGCCTCGCTTATTCCGGAAAAGCTTGGAATGCTGGAGGTCTCGACGGTGGAGCCGATCGTAATCTCCGTACCGCTCGAATTCGGCTCGGCATCGAAATACCGGCTGCCGGACGGCGGAGATGACGAGCGAGAAAGCTCCGGGAGTTCGTTAAACTGACTAGCGACGCTCTTCGCGGGAGACCCTGGTCGCGACGATATCGTTTCTGGCAGTAGTTCTTGGAGCGAGATATGGGATAACTGCGAGACGTATGAATGCACACTAGCCGCCGATGGCGAGTGCTCACTCACTGGCCCATCGTTACCGAGGCTCGGCATTGGCGCAGATGACGAACTCGTGCTCTGGAGAGAGCTCGGATTCATCGTCGTTCCTCCCATTGATACATCCATAATTCCGTCCAGCACGTCGAAATCTGGATCGATATATTCGGGAGAATTACCTGCTGAGGTGTCCGAGTATCCGGATTGCGATGACATCGATGACGTCGACATATTCTTCTTGCGGGTTCGAGTTGATTTCTCCTTTCGCTCATTCATATCTGGTCGGTGCTTTCGTGGACGCCCGCGCTTTACCACTTTTCTCGTCACGCCCTCAAACGCGCCTATGCACATACCACGTTGTTTGTGACGGGTAAGCGCATCATGACGCGCAAAGCTGTTGCCACACTCGCAAGGATAAGGCTTTATGCCTGTGTGTATCTTTGCGTGCCGTTTGAGGTCGTGCTGTCGAACGAAGCACTTATTACACGTTGGGCATTTGTACTGGCGGTCATTGAGATGGGTCTGTACGTGAGACTTGATATTTTCCTTCCTGCCAAATTTCTTATTGCAGTCTTCGAAAGTGCAGGTCCATTTGTTGTCTCTCGGATCGGGCCCTTGGATGTATTGGTGGATGTCTTCGAGCGTGATTCCTGTTGACGTTTTGGTCTTCTCGATGTCGATACTGGCGATACTTGCAGCACTTGCAATGCTAGCCATTGATTCGTTTCGACGATGGAGCGGGGTCCCTCTACGGGAAGATGCTTCTATTGAATATCCATCTTCGCTGTTGAACGCGTCGGATCCTAAGTTGGGGTGTTGCATATTAGGCTTATACTCAAAGGAACCATTGAATTCACCCAATTGGGGCGTGATGGGAGTCGTATGCCCGGAAAGATCTGAATTGGCGCCGATGGGATGCGAGGGCATGGGAAGCCCATCAAAAGCAGTATCAACTCTGAGGCCGCTGCTACCGATACGACCCATATCCAAAAACTCCGCCATCGGATCTGACGGGGGATTGAATGTCTCTAATAGAGGCATCGTGTTGGATCGGTTTGGTAATGGCATAGGGACCTGGGCTTCAGCTGCTTGTCGCATCTCATCGAAAGTCGTCCGTGATTGTCTATTTGCGGATTGTCTTGTGGGCTTCACAGTTTCCTCCATTGATTCGTCGTAGCCCTCTGTGAACCTTTGCGGCGGTTGGCTATGCTTTATAGTCCTGTCATGAGGCGTATCTATAGGCGTGAGTGGGAAGTAGTCTCCTCTGGGTTAGTCTCTTACTTCTCTCGTAGCTCATGGAATATGCTCACCTCTAGCATCCTGACGAGGAGGTGTTAAAGGTCTCGGAACCTCAAGTCCTAAGTTCTCGAATTTTGAAACTCTATCCATAATTCCGTTGCTAATACGACGGGGGGAGCTTCTTTTCGTGCTGGAAGTTTCTCCCTCGGAAATCCATCCGGGACCTCCCGTCGGGCTGTCCTGGAAGCTCATGAGCGTAGGTGTGGATAAAGTACTTGGGAACTGGTCGAAGTCCTGAGACGCTGTTATGTTATTGGAGAAATTCTCCTGATTCTTCCTAATGATGACATTCATAGGTCCATTATACATGTCAAGATTGATTTGCATATCATGTTGGCTTGAAAGACCCTCATAACCTTGTCCTTCAAAACTTCGCGCCCTTGGTGTCCCATGGGGGGATACTAAATAGCTGTCGTCGCTTGCCAAGTTCGCGTATGCTTGCTGGGAGCCCGGGCGAGCCATGCGTTGCTGCTGCGCTTCTCGCAGCACATGCTGTGATGTGATTGATCCTGTATTGTTAGTAGCGTTACTTACCGTTGAATATTCCTGCCGTATTGGTATCGTCGGGGATTGCATCTGTTGTTGTGGTTGTTGTCGTCGTATATCCAGACTCATGCCCCTGCGGTGGGACATGCGTGGTCGTTGCTGATTCTGGTGTTGTTGATGCATGTTGGACAGGTTTGTTGCGATCTTCATTGTTTCGTATCCTGTGGGAGTCGAGTTTTGTCGTCGATGTTGTCGGTGCCGGGCGTGAAGACCGCCATGAACCGGATTGGACAGCATCGTGATGAGAGTCGAGTTCGGAAATGGGCCGGTTGTCGATAGATCCTGGTTGCCGAATTGGCTATCAGTTGGTTCCGAAACTGCATCTATCCGTCAGTCATCGGGTTCCCGAGTCATCTTATGAGGTCTCACGAAGAAACTATAATGGAAATCAACGGGATAACTGACCTCACGCAGCGCAAGCCAGTCTGGCCGGGCAATTGAGCTCTTAGGTTGTCCTCAGCAGCAGCAGGCGAACTTGGCAGACGAAAACTAGATGTGTGTAAGTGCTGCCCTTGTTCAGGCAGATGAATAGATAATACGAGAGATGATAGTCTCGCTTAGTGGTCTGTGTGGTCTGAGTAGTCTAGTCAGTAAAGTAAGAAACTTTTTTTTGAAGCGGTAGGTTTGGTAGCTGTTGTCTTCTACAACAACTTTCAAAGTGGATAACGTTCTAGGATGAATGGTCTTGCTATGCAAGATAAGGTAGAGAGAGGTAGGGAATGAATAAGTGAAGTGTTGTAGATAGTGTTCTATGTTCTAAGTTGCAGATAAAATCGCCGGGGTTAACATAGCTCTCTGTTGACAAGAGCTGCGGTCTGTTGCTACAGCGACAAAGTATTCGCCAATTATTTGCCAATCCTGTCGGCCGATATGGTTAGACCTACCAGGTTACGAGCTTTTGCGACAACCAATGAACGTATGATGCATTCTCCTATTTAGGTTAGTGTAATATGTATCCCGCGCAAGCTTGAACCTAGCGCTCTGCAAGCTGCGCATTCATTGTCGATTGGGTCTAGGCTAGCATTAGCGATAAACCCGATCTTCGATTTGACATTTCTATGTACTTGCATTTCTACTTGCATTTCAGGTTATGTACTTACATTTCATGAGCCTCAACGTCATCCTGCCTCTTCATTGATACCTAGCATACCCTTTTTGTTACGCCCGTCTCCTAGGTAATATTTTCCCAAGTTCCAAGCTATATCATTACATAATTCAAGACATTTATCTACATTAAACGGCGAACACTATCAAATTCCACGTAAGGGATGAACCGAAGCAATTAGTTAGCCCTACCAATATATTGCGTACCTAGGTATTTACACTACTTGGGGATGTACAGTTTATCTGGTAATTAAATTAGGTTAGGTACCTAGCTTGTCTTCAATAAATTTTACCAACTGGCTGGTCGCTTAGTACGTTTATTATTCGCATTTATTATCCGAAGTAAGCAAGCACTTTACAGATGAATCCTAGATAAAAGTACAGACCCATAGTCCTAAGTAAACTGGTAAATCGAGCGTTCCAAATACATGGCTAGCATTATAACCACTTTACTAGGTATGTAGACACGGACTGTAAATCCACGTGTTAATGCATGCAATGTGGCGCGTGCCAGGAACAGAGACGCACGTCACACGTCAATGCGGATCGGGTTGGGGTTCGCTTCTTAATTAATGCCTGTCTCCCTAGGTATATCTACGATGCGAACTCCACCTCATCTACCAGATACAGCTAATTTCCCGGAGAGAACAGACATCCATATCCGGAGCCTTCTCATCCCGCAGGAGATATCTGTTGATTCTCGTCTGAGCATCCCGAGATAAATAAGACAAACACCAACGCTGTTCTCCCTGTTCTATATCCGACATAGTCTAAAACTAGGCAAATATGACCAGGTAAACCCTTGGGGTATACATTGCCTGGCGACGTTCCATAAGGACAAGGTGTATAAATGGTTGCTAAGATTTAGGTTAGGCGGTTGTAATAAGACATGAGTTAAGGATGCAAGTCTGTGCTATAGCACGTATACTGAATAGATTTCCCTGTATACCTAGACACTTATCTCATGTATATACATAGTACTAGTGAGCCCATTTAGGAGGTTTAGGTCTGATAACTATAGAGTAGCTAATCAGCTATTGAGTATGACAACTTTTAGATCAGAGAGTGCAATACTTATCGTACCTATCTAAGGTATCTATATCGATATGTTAAATGCTGTTTACATTCGCATCTATTAGATAGGGGTAATGAGGACCCTGAATGAGTGGTTTTCCCATTAATGAGCAAATCTAAAATCCAGCCTTCTGGAACCCTGTAACTTGGTTGTCCTCCTGTATTCGACTTGCTGTTCTTCGCTTAAAGCGTTCCATACGCGTTCTTTTTGCTTGTTTCGCCAGATATAGTAAAGCTTCGTTAACAAGAAAATAAGAATGGCAACTAGATTGATCGTAAGTAACGTCGAATTCCCACGACGGTATTTAGGCTTGTCGTCGTCGCGATAAATGTAAGAAGCGTATACGCTTCCAGCTTGGACGCTCATCTGATTAGTTATTAGCTTTGCCTGCACGTGTAGAATTGGACATAAGACTTACGTTATATAGGGCTGCCGAGACCGTACGTGTGCCGACATTATTAGAATTCTTGGAACACCAACCTACCAATATTGCATCTGATAAGGAATTAGCTAACAATAAACATCATATAGAACCGGATGGGGAATACGCACGACAATACGGATAGGAGAGAAGAACCATCATAATTGCGTATGTACCCCATTTATCTTCAATCAGTCCTCCCCAGAATCTTAAAGCAAAGATGCAGGGCAGGGTCCAAAGAGGTTGCAGAATAGCCACCAACGATCGTTCGTTTAACCATTCAGACAGCCTGGTGACTAGAATGAGATTGATGATATGTATGATGTCCTTATTGAGATTAGCAAGGACCATTTAAGGGTTCCAAGAATGTTAATCATACCGCCGGGATGGTCAGGAGGTTAGTGTTGAACGTGCTGAATCCGAGCGACCGAAGTGTAAGAGTGAAATAGATTTTCGGGGGCGAGTGCGGTATGTAAGCGCAGAAGCCAATGGCGTATAGGGGCCATAAGTTGTAGTCTTTTAAAGCTTCCCATAACCTCCTAGGCGTCAATGCCTGTCGATTATGCATGTCTCCTTTGGAAGGGTCATCGCGAAGCACTCGGTTCACGACAATTGCCTCTTCGCGATCCGTGAACCAACCCTTTGGGCGGAACCACGTTTTGGTCTGCACTGCGGATGCGGGCATCATAAAGAACGAAGCTATTCCTATACATAGAGTGATACACCCTTCAAGTAAAAATAGCCACCGCCAACCTTCCCAGCCTAGGAAGCCCCTGAGATGTAGCAGCCCAAAAGCTAGCAAAGAGGTCACAACCCCCGTGATTGATACTACATAGATCAAGTTAGTGACACTTTAATACCAGTTTCAGTAGAGGGTTACTGATAAATTGAAGCTTACACGATGTCCAGAAGTAGCTGAGTCTTATTGGTAGTTCACGTGATGTGTAGAAATACGATAGCCATAACACCAGGTCGGGTATGAATCCTCCCTTTTGATAAATTAGATTGATGGCCTAAACGATATTTCAGTCAGGGCATATTACCTCAAGGAATCCGAGTAAGCTTCTGGTCAGTAGAAAAGAACCACGTCCAGTCAGACCGCATTGTGAAATAGCGACGAATGACCATAGAACCATCTGCATGGGAATCCAGCGGTCTGGGCCTACGGCTTTTGATACGAGCTGCGAAGGAAGCTCGGCCAGTAAGAAAGATACTAAGAAGATAGAATGCCCATAGTTATAGTCTATATGTTGTTAGTGAAAGGATTCAATTTATTGGCAGTATAATGATGCTGGTCATATATGCCTGGAGGGGTATGGGTGATGAATTCTGAATATATTGGATCATACCATTAGTATCTAGACCCAAATCATCTAGCATGTTGTCGGAGACTGCCTGTGAAAGGTTGCCGCGGTCTACTTGCAGGCCGAAGAACATTATGCACTGAACCGGACCGAGATGTTAGCGCCTATCGAAGTAGCAATAGAGCGGCTTCGTACCGCCCATAAGCAGACTTTCCAATCAAGCTTTCGGATTAATTCTTTTTCTTCTCTGGCTGACCAGGTCAGCTTTGGATTGAAGACGTGTCTGCATTCATATTGACAATTCTCGTAGACTTGTCGCCAATACTCTGTAGTTTCCGTGTCCAAAAAGGGGTTTTCTATTTCTACCACAGGATCCTCAATTCGAATCGTCTCGCCTAGCAAAGCCGTGGGGCTTTGGCTAGGCGTTGCATCTAAGGACCCGTAAGACTTATGGTCTTCCGGGTCATCTGAAGAGAGCGGTTGATAAGACATTTTGGTTGAGAGCCGGGGGAGTCTAGGAAGTGCGGACTCTACGGCATTCAGGTCTAATAACTCAAAATCCAAAAAATCATCATCGTCAATGAACGAACTACTAGGCGAAGTAGAAATGACCGGTTCAGCCGAGTCGGTTTTTGAGATTGCCGGGTATTTGGAAGAAGACATATCGGCTGGGCCGTACCCCTTGGGGGTACAGTATTTAACACCGGAGACAATTCATCGTGCGATAACGTGTAGAAAGGTATGTGAGAATAGGTGGGATGGATGACGTGCTACGTAGTTGTCGCTCACGCGGGCTTCTATGTGTTACGGATGGGAGCCGGCTTTCCTTAACTAGTAGAAATACTGATCTAGCGAGAGGATTTGTTGGCTACCATCCACACACACTATATCCATAACAGAGATGCCGCATAGAAGTTATGGAGACGTGGATGGGAATTTGCGTCGAGTATATAGTAAGAATACCATCCCGCTCTTGACTTGCGCTTGACACCTCCATTACGAATTTGTAGGGGTATTGAGACTGAACGAATGACATGGCGAGATACGCGATTTGGTGATTACGGTTGGAATTTCACCATTCGAGGAACGCGCGGGTAATTCGATATGATTTGCACCGCCATCTTTATCAGCCACATAAGGTACTTAGATACTCGGGCTTGATATCTAATAATCGGAAGAGTTAATCATCCGAATCTACCCCCCGGAATTGGAACCTGCAGTTCATACATACGTGACGTCAGTCTCAAGGTCAAAAGTTAGAAGCGTTTCAATACGAGCGCCAAGAGGGGTTTCAAACTCCACCAACAAAAGCTCTCACCCACTCACCTTTTTTACCACTGTAAATCTTTACCGAATGACCGCTGGAAACAATGGGTCTTTAGCTAACACAGCCCACTATCCTTGTGTCCCTGTATCAACTCGGCACAGTTCAACACTGCACAGCCTAGTGATCAATGCGTTTTAAGCCAAACCTCTTTGCTTCTGTCTCCGTGCCTTTTTTCCTTAGATAGTTTATTGTCATTTTATCATCTTTTTTGTATTATCAGCTATCTAGATTTTTATAGTTTGAGTCTGTTTCCTTGATACTCTCGCTTTCTCAAACTATTGCATAACCTACCTAGGAGGTATACATACAAAATAAATCATCGTTCAATTGACCGCTTGAATCTCCGTCTGATCCGTCTTATCCTTTTTTTGGCTGGCCAAAAAGAATTCGATATTCCCATCGCGACAATGCAATTCTCCACCATCTCCCTGTCCCTTTTCGTCGCCTTCGCTGCGGCTCAGAACTCCACGCTTCCGGATTTGGTATCACAATTACCGGCGTGTGCCTCAAGCTGCCTAAACAGCTCTTCTGAATCCGCTGGATGCGCGGCGACGGATTTTACATGCCTTTGCAGTGAAGATAAACGGCAGTCTTTCATCAGTAGTATCAGTGGTTGCATTGGCCTCTCGGCCAAATGCTCTCAAGATGATATCAGCAGTAAGTAACGTCTATAAGCGAATAGGTCCGAGCATAGTCCAACTAACAATGCATTAGAGCTTACCACCTTGGCTCCCGAGATCTGCGATGCTGCGACATCAAACCCAGACCCATCCGCCGTTGCGTCGGCGTCGAACATAATTACCTCGGCTATTGGCCCTACCTCGACTCCCGACGCCGGTGTTAGACCGGAAGTTGGAATGGGATTAGTTGGAGTTGCTGCTTTCGCGGCTTTGGCTCTTTAAACTTTTCCCTGGACCTCGTCAACCCATACATATTGGGAGGCGCTATTTCTTCTTAGGGTAGATGGATCTTACGATCTTTAATGACTCGGTATAGGGATAGGTAGTTACATCTTAGATAATAGACTGGTCGGATGGGTTGCAATCTGCAAGGTTAGGGATAATTGGGGGTTTAGTAGCACATTCTCAATTCTCAAGGGAAACTCAAAGGTCCTGGTCTCAGTATCATTGAAGACATTAGGGGTCTAATGTGTATTGCATATGGGTGGTACTAGGGATACCTTAGGCGTATATATATCAGGTACCTATACATGCCCGGACTCTTCACAGGTTGATTCTCAGATTCTTTACATATAGTGATGGTTAGTACGTCGAACACACGTCTGGTCTGTTGTTGACGTTTGAATTAGACAAGATATTCGACGTCCATAGTAGTTCCATTAGTGTATGTTATAGCTCAACGACTATGAGAGACGGCTAAGCCGTGGTGTCATCCTTCTGCCGACCACCTCTCCACCTTGAAGTAAGCTAATAGAGATACCAATGTGCTATGTCTTCCCCAGGAACCCCACCCAGTCTTAAAACTAATCGAACAGGCTGAGACTAAGTCATGTGTGGGAAAGACGAATATAATCTTGACTAGCTTCTTGCAGCTTCAATCCAGGTTGATATGTATCAGTACTACGTACGTTCGTGTTGCATTTTATACAAATGTTTCAATCCCTTGTTTTCGAGCTTCGCTTCGAAATCCCTGAAACACTTCTCGGAATGTGAAAGGCATTGCCTATAACCGTCTGGCACCTCTTCCATACGGAACGTGTCAATTACTCTCCCGTACTCACTTTGCTTGAAGCATCGATGTTCTTTCGGGAACACCACCGGCATCGCGTGAAAGTGTGGATCGCAAGGTTCAATTGTATCTTCCGTTGCAGGCGAGATTGGGCATCTCTTGTCGAGTAAAGCGTAGAGATGACTACAGTCTTGCGGGAACCAGTAAGCAAATAAATCCCTCAGGGTGAGGACCCCGCCCCTTTCCCTTGCAAAGCTAACAATATCTAGCTGATAGTCGACACATATGTCCCTGAACATTTCGAGATCAAGGATTGTACGTTGACAATTGGAATTGCCAGCGTGGACTCTCACAATAAGTCGGTTGGAGCCGATCCCTTCATAGCAAGGGCCGAAGGTCAAAGTAAAGTCTTCACTAGCGCCGTACCGGACGAAGAGTTCTATGAGCCGGTAGTACAACTGTCCATTATATTTATGTTTGCCCTGGTATAAACCTGCTGCCTGCGGGTCCATAAATAACAGTCGTCTCAATACCCAAGCCCATAGGCCACTGTTATCGTCACCGTTATCGTTGGCTTCAGTAGAGGGGAATGATAGAGTCAGTGGAGCGTTAGGAGAGATCTCAGCCTTAAAAAGCATCTCGAACATTTGGAAGGCTCTTGGATTGTGTAGCTGCCCAGACGCCCCAGATATGACAGCATGCATTATTAGCTTCCTAAATTCCGGGTCAGTCTGGGTTCGAAGATCGCATCGCCCATCCCTATCAAAATACTCGAATAATAGGTCTTGCGCGGCTAAACCGGTAATGAGCTGAGCCAATGGCAACGCTATGATGAAATTTATAGATAAAAGGGAAGAACTATAGGAGGAACTGTCTTCGTAGCTAATCGCGCTATATAATGGGGGTTGGCGCTTACTTTCCGTTCCCTTTTGGAACCTCTGATGTACGATTTGTTCAACATGATCTAGAAACCCAAGGAATCGACTCTTCGACTTTGGACTGTATTCTGCTTCGCGGAAAACAAGGCCATTGTTTTTAAAAATCTCCATGATGCATGAGAGCTGAAACATAAATTCTCTCTCAAAACGATAGCTATTCCGTTTTGAATCGTAAAATTCATTCATGCTTATCGACTTTATAAAAGCGAGAAATGATTGACATGTCCGATCTACCGTATCGATTCCGCTGAGATAAGAGCTGACGGGACTTGCATGTTTGGAAAGGAACTCCACGGCGGTGGCGTGCATGAATCTTACACCCTCCATCTCTTTATAGACGTCCTTTCGTATGGAGACTACTTCAAGGAAACCTTTACATAACCCATTGACCTGGCGCCTCGCGATATCCACGACTCTTCGCAGTTCCACTTCTGGTAACCGATGTACGGGAAGTTTGATTGCAAAATCTGGGTCAATCGAGAGGTCGCTTAGAAACTTGTGCTGGAGTATAGGCACAGGTATTCGTATACCAATGTCGTAGGTAAAACTTAGAAGCTCGAACGCCTTTTGGCGGTCATACTCGGGGATTGAATCGAGGAGATGTTGGTACAGATCATTTAACTCCGTCGGGAAGGCAGCTACCTTACGTCTAAGGTCTCGGACCTCATCGCCATTAAGTACTCCTTGTTCGATAGCCGCTAGGACAACACGAACCCAGAGAAAAACTCCTTCGGCTTTGTCGACAATTTCGTTAGCTAGTGAGTTGAGGTCATCCTTGCTAACAGAAGAAGATATTTCCGAAAATTCTTCAAATCTGTCTTCAACAAAGATCTTGATGTCCTCACGCGTCCACTCATGGATTCGAAAGCTCCGATAATCCTTAAAGCCAATCTCAAACTCATTCCACGGCCGACTGGACACACATATTTTGAGACATACGGGATTAATTGTTGTCCAACTAATAATCTCTTTTATTAACCCAATAGGACGGCCGCTAAACTCGTCCAACCCGTCTATGAAGAATATCATTTTATGATTTTCGAAGGCTCGACCGCTCCGGAGCAGAAGGTTAAATGCCTGTGTACCGCTAGGGTCGAAGGGGACTATATTCTCATAACCTGACTCCCACTGTGATGGGAATGCGACTGGGATGAGTCCAGGCGCCGCTTTGAGGATTTGGTGAAGTAAGCAAGCTGTGAGTCCTGCTAGGTTCTTCTGTTCATCATCTCCTAACCTCCAGAAAAAGGCTTTGGCAAGAATGAGATTTTTTTCACCCGCCCAGGCTTTTAGATGTTTGAGTGTGATCTCACTTTGGCATAAGTACTTCATCAAAGTTGACTTGCCGGCACCTGGTTTTCCCGTGATATGGAATATGTTTTCCTTGTAGGGTCTGGTAGGCGTTATGTCATGGCCAGGTATATCGGCATGAAGGTTGTCAAGCCCTCCTCGTAGCCATGTAGAAAACTCTCTATGCTGTTGGTATTTTGCTTGACGAGATGTAGTATTTAGATTGGAATCAGTTGCATTGTGACTGTTTCCTACCGCAGACTCTCGCTGCTCTTGATCGGAAGGGGTTTCTGGGCCCTCTAGAAGCCATTGGAAAGTCTTTTGATGGGCTGTCTCTACATTCTCAAACCGATCATGCATTCTCGGATATCGGAGACTCTGTAAGATAGCGGCTTGCTTGAATGGTATCTCTACAACTTCCTGAAGCTTTTGGAAAAATGTAATCGTATTATCCGAGTCGACCATGACGCTGTGCTGGAGCCTTTGTACGTGGTCTCTCAGATGTAGCATTTCTTTCTGGGACATCGACGTAGCACTCAGTGTTTGTTCAAGCTTTTGTGCTAGGTCTGAGCTATATTTGGATTAGAACCAGATATATAGAGCTCCTAAGTGGAAGGCTTACCGAGACATAGTGCTTATTTGAATCTGCAGTTGTTTCCTATAGTCATCAAGGTTCGCTTTGATCTCATTCCGTTCGTTCTTCTTCCTCATATTTCTCAGAACTGTCGTTATAATGTCGAGTTTGCTTCCCGGCTTTTTGGTTTTCAGATCTTCAAGCAGCGCCAAGAGCTTATTGGAAAGGTCACTGCACTGTTGTGCAAGCCTACATAGAGCCATTTCGTCCTCAGTCAGACCAGATGATGGCAAGTCTTTCATAACTCTCGCACTGAGTTCTCGCATTTCCTGCGCCACAAAGGCAGTATTGTTGTTTGATTGGGTTGAATCTTGGCGAGATTCGTGTAACTCCTTCGTCATCAAAACGACTTTATACCCACACTCAATGAGCTGGAGTACATTAGATACCAGCCCTACAGCTGCTAAGGCCTCCATTGTTATCTTTTCTATTAAATCTAGAGAAGTGGAAAAGGCTGCGCAGTTTTGTAATGGTATCTTTTCAAGATAGTATGCAATCATCTAAACGCGAGGCTCTTGTCAGATTAAAGAGGGGTTCTACACGCCTGGGCTACAGCCTACCTAACTCTGCTGCTGCAATAACCGCAAATCAGAGGCTCGGAAAATATACAGCCACTTGAATCTCATGTTGAATTCTTCGGATCCATAAATATTCACCCACAAGGCTGCCAATCATGTTTGGCTTAAGGGATGTCCTTATGGTCGGAGGATGGAAAATCAATTATTGAGCTGTGCTAAGAAGCATTTCATATTAGAGCATATGGAGATCTTAAATTTTTATCAGAGGCATCTAAATGTTAGAAAGATACAGTGGAGGTAAAAGCACCTTAATTATCATGTCAACTGATACTTCATTATCAAATTATAGAGTGATACTAATTATAATTTCCTCTAGCCAGCGAATTCGGCTATCCAACTCGACGTGGTTAATAAGTGTTATCTAATTAGAAATTAACTAGAAAGATATTTATAGGAAAAGTGCTTTTATCAATCGTCTAGTAATTATGAACTTAATCTTGAGCTTTTGAGTTATATGTAGACGCTTCGGAGGGATTGAGACTTAGCCTTAAGAAAAGGGGGGCTTGTGGCTCGTTAGGCTTCTAAAGCCTAGGCCCTAGGAGTTTAACATACTAACAATAGGAACCACGCCTGTGTCGGAGAGAAGATACTGACCATAGGGGCTCTGGCGGATTATCCATTCACCTAAACGAATTGGATGGTGGTCTATTCGCCACTCCAAGGTTGCATTGGGGCGGCATCACCGAGATTCAAAAGGTTACAGTTGAATCACTTAGTTTAGTCTTCCCTAGACTTCAGGGAAACTACTAGGGACTTAACATAATGGTAATAAAATGCGATCGCATAGCGCCTAAAGTAACGTGAGGGAAGAAGACATTTTGGCGTAGAGTGGAGAATCAGTAATCTAGGTAGTTACCTAGGTGCTATATGCACGTAATATAGATGGGTATTAACTGGGAGGAACTGGCCTGATGTTACTCTAGATACGAATACCAGGTTCGAACTAAAGGTTACCTATATGTATGGTATGGAAGTTACCAAGCACATTGAAGCTCAAACAATTCAAATATCCGCCAACGTCAGGTACGCACAGTTACATTGAAATCGTAATTGTGTCTTAAAAGACTGCTCGCGTAGCATCGACTCTCCTGATCATGTCCATTGTAGATTCCGGAAGGCAAGTTCCAGTTGATCGGTGCTATATAGATGTGACCCTACATTACCTAGGAGGTACCTAGGTAGGTAATAGGAGGTACCTAACCTTTATAAGGTAACCAAGTTTGGGTTATGTCCCTGATTAGAAAGGTATCACTTTAGTAAATAAACATTGCGCTCCTAAACATTCCCCCCTACGACTAGGTTGGTCACTTTGCCATTGACATGTGACATTAAAGAAATAATGTATATAAGTAGGTATCTAGTATTATATCGCTACATGTGACCATACATTACCTAGGTACCTATATATTTACTTATATCGTCACAATGCTCCTCTCGTGAGTCTAAAACCTGATAGGGATGACCTACTATGCTATCTTAAGAATCTGCCTCCTGAAAGATAAAGCATAGCCGAAATTTCTAGACAGCACTAATAGGAATTGACTCTTACCTTACTTGTACCTCTACTCCTCGAGCTCCTCGAATGTACTTAATGTTTTTAGTCAGCCGTGTCCTTAGTACAACTTCTAGGATCCTGATGGAGCCATCATCTATCTATATCGAGTGCTTCAGTAATTGATCCGTTTAATAGTTGTTGCGTGAGCGATCATACCTACAGCCTACACCAGATACCAAGTATTTAAGGCCTGGCTGAAACCCATAGCGTCACTTTGACGTGGGTAGTAAAATTTTACGTTGCTTGATATGGCATTCGTATATGGCATTCGTATTGGTAGGTTACAGATCCGCCCGGCTCTTCTCGCTAGTTAGGTAGGTATCTCTATTGGTCACCATATCATATTAGGATAACGACATTCACTTAGAGCCGCCTGCATTAGATCTAAGGAGGCTATTCAGGGTGCATATCCGAATCTAATAGACAGTGTCCGTGGGCTCCTAGACAGTGAAGAATGTCCTGTACTCGGTAGCTTTGGCAAACCCAGATGGCGGTGGCACGGGCCGATCATCAATATAATGCAAGATGCGCTACGGCCATTGGCGTGACTGGAATCTTCTACCTAAAAGTAGTTCTTGGCTCAATATCAATAAGGCTTGCAGACACGTTCGGTATGATCCGAGACGAACGCCATTGAGCCCCAATGGATTGAATTTTGATAGGCCGCCACCGAAACAATTGCATAAAGCTAACATACATTCTGTAGAGTGCCAAGTCGGGTTCACACTGGATCGACCCAACTAGTGCGGAGGTAAAATCTACCGAATATATGCATGCGGAGAATAAGGCACTCTCCGCTTCCGTTGATGTAAGACGGAGATAGCCGCCTATAGTTGAGAGTAGGTAGTTTAGAAGCATCTGTTTTCATGATTCTGGGGGTGCTGAGGGTTACATAGTGCTATCAAGATATAGTTTATCCAGACGAAAATACGGCACCCCTCTGCGAGATTATATATCTACTTCTTAGATAGATCGAAGGATATTTGTATCGAGTACCTACCTAGGTATATAAGATCTTAATGAGCGACACGGCGTTCCTCATTGGGACGGGTCTATATCCCTTTCTGGAACTATCAGTTGCCACGTGCCTGAGCTACCGAATGTGGCTTGCTGTATTCGTATAACTTGAGCCGTTCAAATCATTATATCCAATTAGAGTGCTGTGGATGTTGACCCGTGAAACGGATGATTACCCTGTACTTGAAATTAGGACACCGCTATTTGCCCCTTTTCCTTTTTTAGGGGGGTAATATTGTGTAGCACAAGATCTGGGTATGGGGTACGATCAGGCATTGCCGTGACGGATCGTTGCCTTGTACAACCGGTATCTGGAATATTTAATGCTAGATTCGCATATAAGAACCAAGTATGCGCGCTTCCTAGATGGCGGGAACTTATGGCGCTTTGTCCTATCCGGACGGCCGACTGCATCGGGCATCGACCGGTCTTCGCAATTGATAGATATACTATTATATCAATAACTAGGCTACTAGCACAAGTCCGGATTTTCTCGGAGATATCCTATCCGCTTCACATATACTTCTTGTCGTCATATTTTACTTATTTATAATTTGGTACTAATTACTTTTTATTATTGGTCGGCGACCGTACCCGATGGCGAATGGTTCTTTATACGGTCTCTTGTATGTCAGCCGACTGCGAAAACGCTCGAAATAACCTTGCTAATAGGGATTTTCTCTAAATCTAACTTCAGAGGGGATGAATACAGACTTAAAATATGAAGACGGCCTTTAAATTGGAGATGTCTTAGTATGCCTCGTTATTGACATTACCTTGTCAAATATAATAGCATCTACTTGATCTCGTGAAGTCGAAACTCCCTTATTAGCATCACCGCTAATACTTGAGCTTAAAGAAGAATCAAAACTAGAAACTATACATAGTTCTCATCTACGGCAGAACAAATTATTAGAATGACTATTATCACCCCTTAAAATATTAGCATATTATAATATCTTTTAGGTTATTAAGTGGTGTTAAGTGCCTAGGATATGGAACCATACTGAGGCGCCTAGGTTGTTTCTCACATAAGACCCAAGTAAAGCTAAAGCTATTTTATTTATAACTACTTGGAAACCTCATATGACTTGCGTATCTCTAACGTAAATATTGCGGACTATACTATGCCTAAGGGTTCGGACAGCATTGTTGAATGCGTCCTAACGTAATCATGCTAAAATAATGGTGCCCACTATTTCAGATGTGAGGAGGAAGAGGGATATATAGCCCTCGCTCCGATCTGTACCTTATTTCATAACCCAGCGCAGCTAGGAATTATTAGATAGGTACCCTTACAGAAGTTGCAAGTAATAACTCGAGAGATTATTTACTGACTGCAACTTCTGCAACGCCTCGATGGAACTGTGAAGCGACTTCTCCACATTATCCATCTCCTCCTTATCTAGATCCCCTTTTCGGACCTCTAGATGTGTTCGAAGCCTCACCACACTTAGATATATGGTCAGAGGCATAAACGTATGAGCCTTGAAATAACCAAGATATTCATGCTCCTTCGCCATCCGAGATATTTCCTGAGCCGCCCAGAGCCCTCGATCTTGGTATTCCCACACAAGAGATTGGCTTTGGTCGCTTATGGACAACGTCTCTATGATACGGCACAAGTACATGATAGCCGAATAAGCGATCATGTACGAGTAAATAATCATTGGGTTCTCAGCCACAGTCAAGGACGGGTAGTTGAGTTGCAGATTATTAAGTCGGCGTGTAAGTATTCCGTCTAACCAGTCGTGTCTAGAAGTAAAATCGAGAGGAATGTTGCTATACAAAGCTTCTATCGTGTAGATCTGTTTGTGAGGCAGGGCTCGGCTGCAGATGGTGACTAGAATCACACATTCTGCTAGTGGCGCATATGGTCTCATGTCGGCAGATGTCATAGTTTCTGCTAAGAAGGGCTCTTGTTGCACGAGACCTCTTTGGAAATCGTCATCTGGACATGGAAGACGTGTAAATACCTATCAAAATTTGGAATGAGTTTCTTTCCCGCAAATGCCTCCTGGATCACATCGGGCTGATTCGGGGATATATTGGAACTTACTACTTCCTCGTTCAACGTCATGGGAGAACCTTCGCTCAGGCTAACGAACCGGTCGAGGCAATAAGCCACCCAGAATGTGCGCCTCTTTTCCTCCAACGTAATCGCATTGTCATCACCCTCCGTCCCCAAGACCCTGGGACCATCTAGCTCGTAAAGCTTTAGAAATTGAACCAGGCGGAAGACTCGGCCAGCGCTAAGCCACCCACGACGGTAATTGGTCTTAGCAAACTCATAGAATGTGATAAGAATCCATGCTTGCAGGTGCTCGATATGGCAAATTGGAGAGTCACTGCAATTCAGGTCCAATTGGTCCAGCATAAATCGAGTCTTGGCGTAAATGGCGTCTTGGAGACCGCTAAACTGACTTGAGAAGGCCGTAGCGGATGTCAACATGGCATACTGTAGACATTGTTGAGGTTCACTGATGTTACTCGCGTCGTTTATCCATCCAAAAGTTTTCGACTTGTTGAAAATAGGAGCAATTGGATGAACCCGGTCAAAATAAAGCTGCATTCTTTAAGTAGAGTAAGCTACCTGGAACTGACAGTTTGGGGGCCGGGGGAACCCACAAATCTGCTTTCGTGAGGTCTGATACAAAAACATCACCAACTGAAACTGGGCTCTGCTTTGGTGATGGGTACGATGCTGCTATTGTGGGTATGACCGGGAACTCAGAGAATAGCAATGGTGAGTGAGGTGCAGTCGCCGGCGGTCCCCATGCTAGAGGAATCGAACCACTGAGAGGTTGTTCCTGTTGGGATAAATCCCAATCAGGTACTACTACGAAAGAAGTTACTACTTTTGCTCTAAAAGTAAGACGTAGTTGTTGAAGATGTCTCGGATACGCCGGATATAAGACCCCATCCGACAAGGGAGAATGTAAAAAAAAGTAAGACGCAGGGTCAAGGGACATACAGGGAAATTGTGTCGGAATGCCCTCCTTTGATGGAGATTCTGGTGCCAAACCAAGCTCATGACTATTCGGTGTCCCGTTATCCTCGGCTTGCGATGTAGAGAGACGGCGCTCTAGTGCAACTACCTCGAAATTTAGTATTTTAGTATTGGTAAGGTAGGTAGGTAGTTTATTTCGAGTATGGCGTACCGATGCGACTACGAAGTGCTCCTATGCTTCCCTTTTTGGGACCGCGAGGTACGCGACGGTCGTTGACTTCGCAGGGGATTTGGGCATTGGCACATGCGCCGCATTGCGGACGCTGCCTGTCACATCGAAGCTTTTTCTTGCGGCATTCTTTTCGAGGTCATCCAGTTAGTAATATTAAACCCAAAAGAGGCATCGTCGTAGAACCCCGACCCTCGACTCTAGACCATCATCCTCTTTAATCGGCGAGCAACGCCAAAATCCCATTGGTGCTGCCAGGGGTTGAGACGTTAGAACATACCTTCACAGGCATAGCCGGGCTGTTGACGTGGCTCAGCCCGTCCATACATGACGCTTTGATTGCTTCACAAGACCTCGGTGTCTCGAACAAGCTCGAAGCGACCGTTGAGGATGAGAATAATAAGCTTATTTCATAGCTCTAGATCACAGGTGGCGATCAAGTCTCCATTCACAAGAATCTCATAAGAAAGGCGCTAGATCGTCGATCAACAGCACTAGTTGACGAGAGAATGATATGGAATTAAAGTAGGAGTTATGGCTCGCCAAGGCCATAGATGATACTTAGCTATTTACGCCACCCGGAGCACATACCGTGATGCCTATCAAGATTAGGGAGCCTCACTGAGAGCTGACGGAGTGCCATGGCATACCTAATCTACGCGTCGGGAAAACCTTCATTGGCATTCTGTAGTAGTCAGCTCGCATCCCATTACGCCATTGCTCAAGCAGGAACTACACATGAGGTCTATACCTAAATTGCTCGATAGTGCCTACGTTTATGATCGGTCTAATCTGCTCAGGGATTAATCCTGGAAACGGTAATCGACATGCGCCGCATGGCGCCCTGTAATCATCGCTTGTGTTGCCGTAGAATTGTACGACTATTTCCCACGATCCCCCCCACATCTCTACCTGAGCACGGATCTGAGGAGGTCCTATGTCATAGGTGTGTTCATCGATCCGAGATCTGGTACGGGGGTAGCACAAAACTATTCCCAGTAATGGAAGGGCGCCTGCATCCAAAACCCTGCCACCTTGATCCGACTACCGACATAAACCTCATTTGACTACGCCTACCAAGGCATCTAATGGCCTATTGTTAAATCGGCAACGCTACTCCCGAGCCCCGTTGCGCTAGGCATGGTATTCGAAGAAGTCGAGGGTAGTCCGAGGGTTTAGGAGGTTGCTTAAGCTGATTTTTTCATTTTAATGACATCCTATTGGACCAGATGTCTCAGATAGGAGGTTGAATCTCTGCCACAACTTTCCATAGCCAACCACTTCACTCCGATCCAGAGTCGATCCATAAATAATGGAATCTCTCTAACCAACTAGATACTAGAGACTTCCATCATGTTAAGTATGGAGGTGTTTGCTCGTGGGGGTAAACCCCATTGTAGGTAGGTCTTACCCATACGCCTAAGATTTCAAAATATCTGCATCAGAACAAATAGGCTCTTTCATTATATATGTTTCACTGTTCTGAAATTAACCGCCGGTGCAATACTTCATATATTATACCTGATATTCAGGATTCTAGAATCCCCGACATCATACGGTGTATGATCGACGCGCCTATCGTACGCGGCTGGGCACTGAAGGTCTTAGTTTTGAGACAAGGCTTTTTAAGAACGTTGACAGCGTTTGTCTCTGATAACTACAAGCACCAGTGGTATCCTATTAGGTGGTAGAGGTTATATATCCAGCATAGAGCTTCGTTACGATAACATGCGTCGTAAAGTACGTAAGTCATAGTTAATGATACAACCCGAGATCAAGTAAATTCAATTTTCTTTACACCAAATAGGTTTAATAATGCAAGTACTGGAAGATTCCACTATTAAACACGGTTCTTCTGAATGAAGTCTAGATCTTTGAAGGACTGTGAAAGGCCTCCAGTGTCTTTGTGTAGATTGTGCACCTAATCTATAAAGCGGGAGCTATATTCTATTCTAGTCTAATAAATTGCTCAGTAGAGACTACTTAGATAAATCCAATTAAGCCTCAGTCGCACTGTCTCGAATGATTGGGTTATAGAAGCGGAAGCGATTTAAAGGGTCGTATTTCGCTTTCAGGTTACGAAGTCTCTCCAGGCGCCATGCTTCGTGACCGTACATCTGGTCTACCGGCTCGAAACCGTTGGCATAATTGACATAAGCATTGGGAGCCCTCCCTGGCTGGCCTTCGTTCCATTGGTCTCTAACCTCGATTGCCCATTCCCAAGCAGCCTTTTCTACGCTTGGGTTATTCTGGGGGACAACGGTTTGGAATAGCATCAGGTGATGGTCAGCACGGAAAGGATAGGCGGAGTCGTCAGGGTTCTGTTCTGTAACAGCTTTGGTGGAGTAGCCTTCGTGAAGAATATTACCCCCTGCGGTGAGCACGGGATTGCTGGCGACGCGTTTCTTAAAGCCATCATATATAAGTCTTTCGGCCGTTACGTTGTACACTTCGAGACCTGCGGTGGCGGCGATTCTAATTTGATTTTCCTGGCAGAGGGAACTGCCTTCATCCGTGCCTTGAGCAACAGAGATCCCCGGATATGACACATCGTCATATTCTTCATAAACAGCTTCGATCGCGTTGAATGGAGCCAAGAGCTTCTCGGCTTCTTCCGCGGATCCACGATAGGAAAAAGTCCAGAATATGACTGGTTCTTTATCTGTTATTGTCGTATTCATTTGGAAGTTTCCGAAGTTGAAAGCGAAGTTGACGGGTGTCGTGCCGTTACCGTGGAAAATATTAAGAGCTTTAAAGATGTCTTCAAGCTTGTCGCCTTTCCAAATGTAATTATGATAGTGCCATGTATCCGGGCCACGGGGGAAGATATTCATCTCAAAGCTCGTAACGATACCGAAATTGTGGCCTGCTCCCTTCATTCCCCACAGGAGATCACTGTGTTCTTCAGAGTTTACACGAATAGCACTGCCGTTAGCTAAAACAACATTGAGCTGGAGGATATTGTCGCTAATCATGCCGTGGGCACCTTCGTGTCTCCCATGTCCGCCGCCAAGACCTGGACCCCTTTTATTTGAAGCTTGTAAGTATTCATCGCCTAATGATAAGAGATGGTAAAAAGGACAACGTACATCATACCCACGCAATCGCAGGATCCAGTGGTAGTAACATATCCTCGATCCCAAAGGTAAGTCGTGGCTTGACCATCGTAGACGCCACCTTGAAACCAGGCAGATTTACCACTGGGTTGAATGTCAATATTCCTAAGATTCTTCATATTGATCTGAACACCGTTGAAGGAACCAAGGCTTTGGGTGTCTCCATGAGCACGATTTACAGTCAAGAAGTCGAGACTGTTTTCGTTACAATACGTGACCTTAGGTCATTGTTAGCTCATAGGACTCAAGTAATAATACATAGGTACTTATAGCACTTACAATAGTTGATATATCAGATTCCTCACCGGGCTCGATGACAATCTGAATCTTAGGCACTGCAAAGATATTCCACCTTGTGGTAGCCTCAGTGAAGCGATCGTCATCTGGTCCGAAGATGGAAGTGGTGTTTGAGAGCTCACTACCAAGCTCCTGCTGAACCTGTGCAGCACTTAACTGGCGACGAGTAAAGGCGGACGGTTGGAAGTATCTGGGAATGCTCGCGCCGGCCGCGAGGGTCCCAAAAAGGGCGAGATTACACACGAATGAAACAAACTTCTTCATTTTGAAGACCACAAGCAGGCAGACCTATCAAGATTGTGGGGAGAAGATGTGAATATAGTCAGAATTTAAAGAAGAGGTTTTGACGGAATATATATTTCAATATCTCCCAAGTCTATCTCCTACGTCTATCCCCTAAGTCCTAAAACTTTGTATATGTAAAGCATGACAACATTATAGCCAAAAGCAGACTAACAAGGTAGGCATACAAATCTGAGCACCTTCTGACTTATTACAAACCTGTTATATGACATCAGCATCGATACCTGCACCCGCAAGGGTCGTTTTGACCCTGACAATCGACGTTACCAAATAACAAGAATCCTATTTCAGGGATCCAGGCTCTCTCTACCTGGGTAGGCAAAGAGTATTATACAAGTATTTCTCTGCGGCTGAAATGCTATTAAATTTCTGATTGATCAGCCTTAAGGGTTCAGGCCGATGTGACATATCACTGAGTGACAAGTGAGATCTACTGCATGAGATGCGACTGGAGGCTATATCACAACCACAAAACAGAACAACGTTCCATCTAGGTCGTGCAAATCAATTCTGTTCGAACTTTGACTGATTGGTACAATATTTACCAAACAAATGACTTATCCTGTTGAGTTCGTTAAATTCACGACGATATTTCCAAGTATTCCTAGTCCTCCAATACTTTGAACTAATTACTTCGGTAATCTGGCATAGGATTCGGCTACCTGTTATCACCACGAGAAAGTAAGCAGCCGCTTACTCCCTTCCTCCGGGGGTCGGCTCCAAAGGCCGCTGGCCAAACGTTGGGATGTTAAATTCGCTCTTATCACCAAGGATGACTACCTAGCTACCCCTGGCAAACACTTCTTCCATCAGATACGCCCGCTTACTTGGGTAAGAGTCACATTCACGCGCCGCTTACTCGAGTAAGATTCACACTAATACGCTTACTTCAGTAAGAGTTGCATTGAATTTACAAGCCTGTTTATATGCGAAAGGAAGAAACTATCCGACTAATTCGCCTTCTTCTGATACTATAGTAATTTTACAATCCCATGATCTAGGCTAACAACGGAGGTCGCAATTATCTCGTAGTCTTCGGGGTATAAATTACCCGGATATCAGGTAGTTACCAGGTACCTAGTGCTCGTAATAGGACTTAATGTGTAGTTTAGACTCCAATAAATCAAACGAGACCCTTGAGCCAAAATTATTAGTATTAGTACCAACAGCATATAGATATACGGATGTCCCTTTCAAAAGTTTTTTCCATAGGGAACCCCTGTTAACATTGCCGGCAGCTGTCCATTGCTTAGCTACCACCTGTCAGATGACTTAAAGATGTATATACTACTACTCCCCATTTTTAATACTACATTTTGCAACCAAATATAATACTGGTATAATAAAAAGAAACTGTATTTAAACCCTCTCTTTTCACTTTCATAGCCATATCTTTTACAGAATTTTGTGATTTAATTTAAGGGGAAATATATTGTATTCAAGCATTAGAGTAATATAAGATACCTACCTACTCTGAATAGGTGAGCAGCCGCCACCAAGTATGGCCCAAGCTTGTCGGGAGTGACAGGGGTCTCCCTATGGAACGAACTTTTGAAAGGGACATCCGTAATGATTCTATATCCCCATATGCCAGCGCGGCACATGTATATACC